CTGAATACTGCAGCACACACTCAAGAGGTCGGCTGCCCTCAAGTTTTGTATGGGTAACTTTCTGCTGGTTTCTGAACCAGACTAGTGAAATAAATTTAATTCTCTAGCTAAGATGCAACTATTCCAATGTAAAATATGCTTATGCTATTATAGCTTATTTCCATGCCTTTTAGCAGCTTCTATGGAAGCAACTGTCACTTTCTAGAGAGAAGGTTGAAATGTTTTATCCATCCAAGCAACAAAACTGTAGGAATATAGAATTGTGTGTAGATTAGTTTGAAAAGATGCCACAGCAACAGAACTGCTGAAAAAGCCACCTGCAGCTCCTGTCCCTGCTTGCTGGTGACAGACAGCAGGTATCCAAAATTGGGGACCAAGGAAGAGACATCACACTGGCCAGGAATCGCTTTTCAAATGAAGAGCTTCCGTCAGAATGACAGTGGTGGAATATTAACCAGTGGTAAAATGGCAAAATAACTTCCCATTATCTATTTTTCAGACTGATTGTTTTCAAATACCTCTGAAAAAACCCATAAGTTTGTTTTTTTTTAATCTGCTCCTGCTGTGAGTACAGAGCTCTTCTTAAAATACTGGTCTTAATAACTCAGTGTCCCAAAACTCCCTCTTTAGAATAGAGACAATATTTCTCTTCCCTGGCCCTCGTTTGAGCTTGCCTAGAGCTCTCCCCAAATACATCTGTATATACCATTGGTGTCAGGGGATAATGATTTCACCGTGTTCCAATCACTGCTGCTAAGAACAGTAACTTTCAATATAAACAGAGGAGCTAAGTGTTGTATAAAATGAACCTGCATCTCCCAAGTGCCCATTTGGATTGTTTTTATTGGGCACCATGGAGCCTTTGCATGCCCCATCGTCCGTTTCCCATCCCTGAAACATGACAACCGTGGCCAGGAACCTCATGGAAAGAAAGCCCTACCTGCCCCTGCTGGGACTGGCAGCCAGCTGACAGCCACGTAAGTCGAACAGCAAGAAGGTCAGGCAATGAAAGAGACGTCATACACAGCCCAGAGTGACAGCTGAACTCCTGGGCACATTCTAGCGGTTTCACCGGGGCTTTAAATCACTAAAAGCTTCTGTCAGCAACTACATGTGATTTCTGCCTTGCACCCCGAGGACCAGGAAGCCCCGGGCTACTGACTCACGGGAGGGAGCAGATGACAGTGCTATCTGGGGCAGGACATGGCTTGGGGAGAGTGCCGTCACCATGCCTTATTTCTCATTTCCAACAACGTTAGTGTGCGTGAAAGGTTCTGGACTGACATCCCAGTAGAATAGCTGCCTTCTCGTTAATTATAATTAATCATCCAGGCATTACTTAATGTTTGCATAATGCTTTGAAGTGGCAAAGCACAACATAGCAGGTAGATATTATTAATTCCAAGAAATGGGTATATAGTCAAGCCAGGGGTAGGTTTCCCTGTGTGGCTTCCCACCCAAGAGGCCACATCAACTCAGCTCACACAAGGGGACTCTGCCTTGGCTCCACCACATCCTCCAAGAAATTTGCACCCACCCTTTGTGCACCCAGCTTGTGCCCCAGGACTGGCCCATGGGGGAAGGAGAGGGATGAGTGAAAAGGGGAAAGGGTAGGGCAGGGCAGAGGACACTGCTTTTCTCTCCTGAATTTGGCCACCTCCCCACCTGTCCTTGTGTGGAGTAGCATCTCTAAAGGCAAGAGAAGCAGCCTTGACATCCCTCAAATACATTCTGGGATTTCTCAATGAGCTAAACCAGATTGAAATGGGAGTAAGGAGGCCCTTGTATTCCCTCCTCCATCCCTTCTCTCAGCCCTCTAGACTGGCTACTCTCTAATCCCATCTGACTGCTCCCTCACTCCCTGACAGCACCCAGACCTGTGTCATCTGCCTGGAGATTTGATTTTACCAGTTTGCCTTACTCTGCCTTGGCTGGGGACTGACATTCATCTGCCAGAAGAAAAGGGGCCCAACACTGCGCCACTGACATTCTCCCCACGGGGACACTGAGGGTGCTCCCTCCCCACGGGCATGGCTGTAAATCCTGGAGCTTAATTTTTCACTGCATGCATAGTGAACATTTCAAAGTGCTTACAAATCCCCTCAAGCACCATCAAGTCAAACAAGTGACAGTAATGATCACTGGCAGAATGACAGGCCAGTTCATACCACTTGTTCTTTTATAGGGGCACTTAAAAAGTCTCTGTTGTTTCCCTTCTATAGAACTGTGACTGCATTTATTCAGAAACTACAAGTCTACCCAGATATTTGGCTTTCTGGGAACCAGTTCTGGGTACCAAACTTCTGCTAGTATCATAACCCTAAATGAATACAGCATCAATCCCACTGAGGGCTGATGCCATCAGAATAACAATAATAATAATAACAACAATCTGCATTCCATTCTGCTCTGATTGCCTCTTGTTGTGTCTCCCCTTCCTTTACCTCTCTCCTGTACTCAGGATGGTATTGCAGCACAGCCCAGCATCATTTGAACTGGAGACTGCTGTAGGATGAAGTCCCCTAGAATCAGGATCTAGCCACTCAGAATATCAGTGTGAGGGGAGATGAAGTGAGACCTACATCCTTACTCTCAAAGCTGACATCCTCAATAAAGAATAGTATTTCAATAAGTAGTGTGATCACAATTATTGTCCTTTTTTTTTAATGACTTCTAGTATGAAAGACTCAGATGATGAACCTAGTCACTGCTGGAAACAAAGCAAAGGGTAATATAGATACAATACCTTTTTCCTCTCTGAAACCCCCAAAACATGGTGTAAGCTGACACCCAAACCAGCAGATGGGTCATATCTCAGCAAACCCTGGCACTCCTGCTGAAGTCAAGGGGGGGATGAAGGACTTTGGACCCTTTGGGAGAAAGTAATTGTCTGGATGCTGTCATTGAGCCCACACCGTGGATGAAAGATGGGTAGTTTTCATCAAAGCATAAGAAATCAGGAATGAAGAACACACACCATGTGTGAGAACAGAAGATGCTTGTGGTCAGGTCACCAAATGGGCCTTTAGTGACAGGGACCATGGTACCTTTAAGGGACAAAAACAACTGAAAATTCATTTCTGTGTCTCAACTTCTGTGGTTGCCAGTTGAGAACACCGGTTTGTTCTGTATCATTTCCATAAATGACAGATTTTCTACCTTACTGTTGTTGTTTTAACATGATTTGTTTCCCTGTCCTCTGCTGTTCTTTCCACCTTCTGCAAAGGATCCTGCCCCTTCACAGCATGTCCACACAGACAGTCGATTCAGTATGCAGCATAAGTGAGTGGGTGGAAATCTCCACAGGGGTTGTGAAAAGCGCTGCTGACAGAAGAGAAATGGCTCTGTCAGGGGCAGATCCTCCTGCCACTTGTTCTTGCTCCAGCGCTTCCACCAAGAAGTTTCCTTCCCTGTATTTATGCTGAGTGCCAGATGAACTGCTGCTGTGCCTCTGCTCTAACTCACAGGTCAGGAAAGGGAAGCAAAAGGACCATGAAAAACACATGGTCTTTTTTTTTAAAATATTTTTTGTCCTTCTTAATTACTGTTTAGAAAAATGCTCCAGTGCTACACAGGGACCCTTGGTACAGTTTCAATGCTCTTTTCTTTCTCTGCTGGGTATAACAGTGCCAGCTAGTATCAGTTTGGGGAGCAGTTTCTATGATCCAAGCACCTATTAATGTGAACTTTGCTGAAACCATCTCTATTTTACAGGTATCTCTGGACAGACTTCATAACAATTTTCCGGTTTTGGGCTTAACGTGGTGGTTTATTAGTGAAAAGTGCTATTTCATAACACCCTTCCTTCAGCTTATAAGTACTTTCTTAATGCCTGGGTGATATTTAAAGAGTACCACTCTCAGCCAGAACTTACTGGAAGCCTGGAAATTAAGGAACATTTGATCAGATGAAGTCAAATTGCCACAGTTTCACTGACTAGTAGTAGTGTTGAAGATCATTCCCTGTATACTACCCAGCCTAGGCAAAAGCAATATCAGGCTCTGTGATCTGAAGGTATTTGCTGTATGGCCTTCTCTCTACTGGAGATATATATATATATACATAACTATATATAACTATAAGAAAGTTGTTGTTTGATATCTATTCCATCAGTCATTCCTTCCACCATACAAAGCTCCATTAACACTAACCATTCTTTCACAAGAAGCTTTGCATCACAGAGTATTTCTGGTGATAATTACTCCATTACCTGTTCCATCAACCTCTTCCCTTGGTCAACACTTCCAGGTCCTAAAAAAAACTTGGGGTAAGAGCTACATCTTCTCTTACCCCAATACTCCTATGCCAAGCGTTTAAGTTGGGTATGATACCAGTGTTATTGATTTATGTTGATTTTTCTTTGTTAAATGGGTGCTCTGTTTCACTTGTGAGTTTACTGTACTTCCATAAAGGCTGAAGCAATCAATACAGAAAATAGTAAATCTTCAAAAGCTTTGGGGTTCTGCTAGAAATAATGTGCTGTACGAATTTTCCAAAAGTAGATGCAGAGTCTACTGAAGGTCTGCCAAAAGGAGTTTAAAGCTCAGATACAACAATAAGTTTGGCAATCTATAGGTCTGAGTTGGAGATCTAGCAACACATCCATTCCACCAGCAAAACTTCGTTTTTCAGCTGAGACAACAGTGGAGATGCATGAACATGATGCTTTTCCAAAGCCAAAAGTGTCTCCTGCAAAGAGTTTTAAACCTGCACGGACTTCTCAACCTATTTGTGCTCCAGAGAAAGAGTCTCAATCCACAAATTCACCAGCACTGACAATGGGAAGCTTCCTTTCAAACAGCCAGTTCCCCTTTCAGAAGCCTGTCAGCCATTCAGTACCTGCTCTATTATTCTCTGTTGAGCCTAGTTTTCAACATCACAATCTATTGTGGCTCCCATCACTTCCCTTGAGTGACAAGCTAAGAGCTCTCAGCTCCCACACTCCATACAAAAATGCAACCGTTTCATTCAAGATAAAAAGAGACACCAGAATGTCCTACCTGCAGCAATCCCCATCTTCCCATCCACAGACACAGACACGGCCGTGCTCACGGTCACCACTTGCGGTAGGTCACCTCCCTCTGTCAAGACACAAACACAGCAGGCTTGGTTAGCTCACCACCAGAGAGGAGTAAAATGCAGCAGGAGCAGCTTGCTCACACATTTTCTCATCCAGGACAGTGTGTACACATGTATCAACTCTGAAACATCCCAGAGTTTCGAGGACTACATCTTTCAAGACACATAAGCAACGTAATGGGCTATGAGTAGATTTTAATTTTTTTTGCCTTTTAGATGATGTCTCATGATAAAAGGAGCATCCTCAGCATAAAAGAAGTGTACAAGGCCAGGTTGGATGGGGCTCAGAGCAATCTGGTCTAGTGGAAGGTGTCCCTGCAGGAGACACACCACCTGGCAGGGTGGGTGGAACTAGATGATCTTTCAGCCTCAAACATTCCATGATTCTAAGATAAAATGTAAAGGATTGGCCTCCTCGATTTTGGACATGTAGAGCCTCTCTTAGGCCAGAAAGCTGGTCTGCTTAATGCACCATCTAAACTCTGCAGAGAGAGGAGAAGCAGGACAGGTAATTCTGACAACACTTGCACAGTAAAGGCTGGGCTTATGTCTAGCTCAGTTACCCAAGCCAGACCAGCACCACAAACTGCAGAGGCAGACAAAGCACTCCCAGGTACTTCCAGGGTGCACTCCATTTTAGAAACAAGGCCCTCTGGGACTTCAAACTCTGTTATGCCCCAGGGTCTCCTGATTATCTTTGAGCTGCTGTTTTAAGCATCCTGTAAGTCCTGTGTCACATCTGCCAGCCCTGTGCATATCTCTCAGCTCCCACAGGGCATTTAAAATAACATGGCTGGATAGGCTTAAGCAACTGAACCCAACCTCCTCTGCCTGTGTTACTGCAGTTGTTTCAGTCTGCAGTTGTCCCTGTGGCAGATCCCATTTCTGTATTTTTTTTTAAATTATTAGATTAGCTTCAGCTGGGGCACCTCTTCTGGAACTGCCAGGGGACAGTTTAAAGGTCAGTATGATTGATCTGGTCTGCAGCTGATTCCCTCCTTGCATACTGCATGGAAATCTCTTGCTTAGACAGATGCATCAGGGATTCTTTCTTTCCAACAGCTCCAGCATTTGCTACTGCTTTCCATTTCTGCTTTCACCGTTCTAGGTGGTACCCAGTGCGTCCAGAGCACAATTCAGATTATACCACAGTTTAGCCTGGAGGCTCTCACTGTTTTTTTGATTTTTGGACCAAAGCCACATTAACCTGCTCAAGGGTGTCAGAAATAGGAAAACCCTTGTGAAACACTACCCAGCCAACTTATGCTCACATGCCTTGGGCATGATCCTGCCTTTATGGTGAATCCCAAATGTCTTGTTCTTCCTCAGATGGGACAAAGAAGCAAAATACATCTAGTGTCCCTGGAAAAAAAAAATCTCATCCAACACACGAGAGATCTGGGCCGCAAGAACAGTTCTACTTGACATGCAGAGGGTTCCCTGATATCTTTTTAACTCTGGGACTTTTGGACCCTGGAAGGAGGTGCCCTGGATAAAGTATTCTGATGACCTGCAGTCATTCCCTGCTGGTTTCCTCCCCAGCAGGGAGCTTTTGGGGCTTTTCCTTCTTGTATGATTAGAATTCCATCAGCCATGAAAACCCCTTGTCACTGGGCAGGGAATTGTGGAAAACATGAAAAGGGGACTTTAGCATCTAACAGAATTTAATAAGAAACTGGGTGGCCTATTTTAGCTAAAAGGTAGGGCAGCCCTGCTTCATTGGATGTCAAGGAAGGGCCTGGACTTTGCTTTACAGTGAACCCCTGTGGCTCAGAAGCACTGAGTATTATTTCCTGGCTCTTTCCAGGCATATTGTGTGATCTCATGGATCACAGTCCCTCTAAACCCAGCTGCTCATCCCTAAAGAGACTACTAATCTCCCTTACAGTTTAGGGCACAAGGTCTTCAGGGTCATATACTACTTCTTACAATGTGCCTGCAGGGTTTCCAGGTGAATGGGGTTCTGGACTTGATTGAAGCTTCTGACCAATAGCCATGTAAAACAAAAACTAGTGGCAGCTATGCATTTTCTGTCTTTATGCATAACTACCCATGACTTCTAAGAAAGCCACAGCAAACCACAACCCCAGTGTTAAGCCAGGGGTGACTGCTGTGGGTAATGGCTGCCCTAGGAAGTCCCACAGGGTGTCACTGCCCTGTTTTCTAACCCACGCTCTATTCCAAAGAGCAAATGTTGTGACATGCAGGGGAGTAAAAGGTCCTTCCTGCCTTCTCTCCCCCTCTCTCCACACTTGACTTTTAAGTGGTATTTAAGGGTGCTGGGCAGAGAGAGGCTTTTCTGAGAGGTTTCAAGTATTTTCTCATTCCATCCCTCCTGCTTTACATCCTGGTTCATCTTTTGCCTTCAAGCCTGGTTTTCTTCACTTTGCTACTTGCTTTCCCACCCACCAGCCTCCCACCACTGCACCACAAAAAGCTTTAACAGCTAAAGTGCCGAGCTCCATGACAGAGATGGAGAGCTAGGGGCCAGGGAGGAGCACAGAGGGGATTTCTGCTTTCTGTGTAGGAGTCTCACATGAATATTTTGTTTTGTTTGTTTCTTTTTAGGCTCTTCTGCTCTCTTCCAGCCTTTGAGGAGGTCCTGGCTGGCCCTGCATACTCACAGGAATCAACACCCTAAGCAACAGACATTGAAAAGCTACTCCTTGCTTTCCTCTAGTGTTTGAACTTCTTTATTTATGCTATATTCTAGTAGGAAGGATGCAGGGCACCAATGCTGTGGAAAAGCTTTTTCCCCACCCTTTTCCTCTGCCATCTTCCATAACAAACCCATCCATTCCTGCCATGAAAAGTGGTGATGGAAAAAATGACACCCTCTAAACTTAGACTTCCTGACTGAGTGCTGATGGTCCCTCATCCGTGCCAGCTACTACTGTCATCCAGTATGGCTGATGTTCCCTCCCAAGCCTGGTCACACGTGTCTCATTCCTTCTGCATCGCCTTGCCTGTTCCCTTCTCACGTTTCACGTGTTCTCCAGCTCCACGCGTAACTTGTGTTCCCACAACTCCCACCTCCCTATATCTTTCCATCTACCCAAGCCCTGCATTTCCATGCATCCTTCACCTCCTCTGTGACTCTGCATCACACAGCCCTGACCGCCTTCCCCACAACTTGCAGCTTTACCTTTCTGCTCTGACCAGTATCAGAGCAGATGTGACCTCTGTGCCTCTACACTGGTGTGAAGGTAACACCCAGCGGTCAGGTCTTAGCAATTCCCACTAGGCGGGAAGCAGCCATAAAGGCATCGGGATGGGCGTGGTGCGGGATGCAAGATGTGAAAAGCTTTCTCGTTCTCTCTCCTCTGAGTTCAGGCTGGGGTTACCTGAATCGTCTTCCGAGACAATGCTGTAGATGAAGCTCCCGGGGGGATGCTCGGCCGCCCGGCGGTACCACAGAGGGAAGTGGTCCATAGTGAAGATACTTTCCTTGTCCTTCTGTGTCAGGAATTTCCTGCCGGGAGAAGAACCCAGGGCGGCCGCTGTTCACGGGCTGGAGGGCGTGCCCTCCTCGGGGGCACCGCAGCGCGACCCCCGGGGCTGAGCACATCGCCCGCCTCTCACCACCCGGGGCTTACCGAGCGAAAGGGGCACACGGTGTCCCCCCGGGGGACCCCCGGGGCAGTGCCGGGCCCTCCCTCGCCGTGAGGGGCGGCCGGGCCCGGAGCCGCCGCCAGGTGCCGCTGTTGGCCCGGCCGAGCCCCGCGGCGGGCGGTGCTGCCGCCGGTTCCCGGGACCTGCGGCTTGGAGCCCGGGAAGGGCGGGATGCGGGGGCATCCCCCTGCCCCGCCAGGGCGGGTTACCCCGCGGGGAGTAGGGGCAGGGCCGGGAGTGCCACAGGTGAAGCGCGGCAGGTGGGAGCGGGCGGGAGAGGGGAGCCCACGTGGCGCTGGAGTGTGGCCGTGAGTTACCGCAGGGGAACGGGGAGCAGGTGAGGAAAGGGGGGATTGGGCAGTCTCCTAACAAAACCACTCCAAGCGTAAGGTCGCGCTACTGTGGCCAAATCCCGATCTCCTCAGGAGTCCCTCTCTCAGAGGGGAGACCTCATAACAACCTTCCACTATCTGAAGGGGACCACAGATACTCCTTCATTAGGAGCTGTAGGGATAGGACAAGGAGTAATGGGTAAAAACTGAAAGAGGGGAAATTTAGGTTGGGTATTGGGAAGAAATCTTTTTCTGTGAAGGTGGTGAGACACTGGAACAGGTTGCCCAGGGAGGTTGTGGATGCCCTGACCTTGGCAGTGTTCAAGGACAGGTTGGATGGAGCTCTGAGCAACCTGGTCTAGTGGGAGGTGTCCCTGCCCATGGCAGGGGGTTTGGGACTAGTTGATCTTTAAGGTCCATTCCAACCCCCTAACATTCTATGATGTGATGCAGGGACTGAAGTGCTTGAGCAAAGGGGTGCTCCTGAAGGCAGGAGGATGTGTCCTGGGGGCATGACAAGACAAACAGTGGATGCTCAGGAGAGACCTCATGAAAATCAGGTCATTGGTTTCCCTGGAGGTCCCTATGGCTTGGCTGGCAAATTCCTTTGTTTTCAGGCTCTTGTTCTTCTGTATATTTTGACGTAATGATAATTACTCATTTATATGGTTCCTTCCTTTCAGGGGATTCCAGAAGCACCTCCTGTTGGGCTCTGTCTCAGCAGTGTGGTGACTGCGGCTGTTTGAAAGCATTGAACGCTGCTCCTGATGAGCAGTGTGGGATAGGGAATCATCATATTAGCCTCCTGCAGCACACAGCGTTTTCTCCCTTGTTGCCAGAGACTGATTACTCTGAATTGTTCAGACTACCTCAAAAACATGAGGGGTGTCACCTTTCAGGCACAGCAGAGCTTGAATGTAGGACTTATGTTTGGGGAACTTGGGGACAGTGAAACAGTTGCCAAGAAGTTAATGACCATCATGAACATGGTCCCCTTCTGTTCCATCTGCTGGTGTGCCTCTGTGACCTGTCCTTTCTTACAGCAGCGTGCACCAGCCTGCGTATTCAAAATGCAACAGAATGCAAACTATACCCTTTCCATGTCAAAACCCTCCACTGAACACACGCTTTTGCCTTGAGGCAGAGGGCAAGAGAACGAATTGTATGTGACAGATGTCAGTCACATCACTTAATGCCTCACTGGAAGGCACTGGGATGCTGCTGCGATGTGGGCAATGTGAGGCAGAACAGAATAAATGTGGGAGAGGAATTGAGACAGAAAGATCAAACATAGCCAAGCTGGGATGTTGCCGGGGCACTGGAGTGCAGAGAGCCTTTGCACTGCAAAATGGTCCTGAGGATATGTGGTAACTGTGGGCATTTTCTGCACTGGCTGACTGAAGTCAGGGAATGATTGAAGGTTTCCATTTAAATGAATGCACTTTGGGACAGTATTTTAAGAAAAACTTGAAAGGACCAGAGGAAGACAAAGGCCCCCTAACCTGACTCTCCAAATCAGCACCAATACTGTCAAGGTGTTGTTTCCATTCTGTTTCTGTCTCCCTAAATACATTTCTAAGGCTGGTGGTGATTTCGTGCTGCCCCCTCAGAGACACTGAGAAAAACCCCTTAATCAGCTTAGGGACTTACCTGTTGGAAATTTTCTCAGAGCCCACATAGAGGGCACTCCTCATGAGTCCAGCCCGAGTGCCCAGAAAAGCCATTTCAACACCTGCCTCAGTGTCCCTGTGGAACAGAAACACACAGGCAGAAGCAAAACACCCTTGCCCCAGGGTGGGGAGCCTTTCAAACTAGAAGCCACACCCGAAGACATGGTTAATTTGCAACATAACGCATTTACACCAGGAGTGACAGTGGTTCCTCCCTGCTAATGCCAACAGGTTGTTGCTGGCTAACAATTGGCAGGCTTAAGACTTGTACTTAGGTTCACACCTTTGAAGTTTGCTCGTTTCATTCTCTTTTAAGTAGATCACAAGCTTCTCTCCCCCTGCTAACCCTGCTTCAGGCTACCCTCGTAAGGCTGAAGTGAAGGAGAGGAACTGCAGAGAGAGAATGGCTGGATCAGGGGTGCAGAGGATGGGCAGCATAGCAGAATGTCTCTGAAGAGAGTGTGTTGGTGTAGCTGTTTAAGGATGTGCTGATAATTGGGTGGGTATCCTAACATGATTGTCACTGGCTCGACCTCTGTTAGTGGTAGGGATACCAGTAACCAAAACAGGAGCTCCCTGGCCACATATCTGTGTAAGCAACATATTGCCTGCTGAAAGAAGATCTGTGTGACATGATACAAGATACTACAAGCAACAGGTGCATCACTGGAAATAATAAAGTAGAAAGTTGTTTAGTGAAGCCAGCCTGTCCACTACCTTCCTGAGGCTCAATCTGAAGGCATCACCAATAGACACAAGACCAAAGTACCTTTTCTTCACTAAAATAATCCCTCACCAAACTAAAGGCTGTCCCAAGGAGGCCCAGCCTGCTGGAGTTCACTCCTGAGAGACACTTTTTGAGTTATTTCTAAAACTATTGAGCTATTTCTATCAGCCTTTTGAACTTCTTGTATGCTGTACAAGGCTCTGTGGTTGTTTCAGGCACTGCCTAAGCCCATATACTCTGAAGATGCCTCTCCAATGGTGTTCTACCCATATTTATTTCTCATACACTTACATGGACATATTGAGGGCTAATGTAGTCCAGTAGGCCTCCATGGGTGCAGTGACCACTGCATCAAACAGCACTTCCTGGACCAACTCCTCATCACCTGAGAAAGAGGAAGAACAAAAATCAGGAAAGAAAGATATGTTCCCATCTAAGTGTTTTAGAGAGTCCCTTGGTAAGGAACATCTATCTGGCCAGGAAAATGGAGAAATGTGGCACAAAAGGAGACCTCCCATCACAGGGCAGAGAAGAGGACCTACCCCCCTGGATGGTGGAGAGCACAGGAACAGATGTTACTGCCAAGATCACAGAATCACAGAATCAATTATGTTGGAAAAGACTTCTGAGGTCATCGAGTCCAACTCGTGACAGATCATCACCTTGTCAACCAGACCATGGCACTGAGAGCCATGTCCAGTCTTTCCTAAACACCTCCAAGGATGGTGACTCCACCACCTCCCTGGCCAGCCCATTCCAATTTCCAATCATCATTTCTGTGAAGAATTTCTTCCCAATATTCAAAATCATCAGACCAGTTCCCCTGCAAACTTGGTGGAAGGGTGGTGCCCAAACAAGTATGGGCAAGTGAGAGGCTTTCAAATGAAGTTATTCATTAGACCTTCACTCAACCATCTCCTTTAATGAACAGGCCACTGCCTGAAATCCCTGCCTTGACTTTTCTTCTGGGTATCCCATAGAGAGGATACCAGCCACCACGTTCCACTCAAGAAACTTCCTTCAAAACCCCTAGTGACTTCTTTATGGCCTCTACTCTGTTCCTGTGTTCACCGGCTTCTCTGTTAGCCCTCCTTCCTTCCTGTAAGTCTCACAAAACACTGTCCTGTCCTGGTTTCCACCAGGTGCTCAAGCCAGTCCAGGCCACCAGTCTAATCCACTTTGGAACTAAGAAGTGATTAGGAAAGTTCGAAGTATCATCATGTGCTAAATGTCTTATCCCCAAACCCCATTTCTTTGACCTGCTTCATTATTGTATTGCCCTGCTTGCATTAATTCTCATTCTAATGAGAATACGATGACCATCATATTGCAGAAATGCCCCTTTCAGTGCTATTCTAGATGGAAACACCCTCACCATTTCAGTGTTTCTGGGTTGATATTCCAGTCTCTCTTAATGTTTTTTCTCAAGTTCGCCCAACTTGCTTTGTCACAGCTCTCAGGATCCTTCTCTCCATCCTTGTAATTCAAACCTCAGAATCAGAGCTCACCACGAGACCTTTCCCTCTCCAGGCCCCATATGTCTAAGATGTGTTCAAATCATATTTGTTTTTCCTCCACAGCACTTCCAAGTCTGCATGTTTCTCATAGTCAGCTCTCCTGAAACTTTCCTCCTCCCTGGCCACTTGAGCTGATACAGCTCCTCTTTCCAGATTGCTCTAAGGAGAGCCAGGTGGGGGTCCACTCACATTGTACAAAGAGAGGCAAAATTACTGGATTACATTTGATTTTATTTTTAAGAGATTCCCATTCTTGTGCCAAAGGTTTGTGCCTCTCAGCTGCAGCATTATGTGCAAAATCTTATACTTTGCACAACTAAAGGGGCTGAAGGACATCCTAAAGCTAAATAGCTGTAAGGAGTTCCCATGTACAGCTGCCCACCTCTGCCCCCTGACAGAGATCTCACTGTGGTGGTGCTCTACCAGCTGCCCGTGTGGCTACGTGTTGCCTGGAGAACGGGATTTGGTGTAATGGATGAGCAGCAGGGGGAGCAGGAAAGACAATAATTCTGTGACAGTTTTTTACCCCTGGATCAGTTACCTGTTGTGTTTGGAAAACAAAGGTAATAATCCTTGTTCTGAAAGAACCCATCTCTCTAGATGGCACTGTGAACCCTTGGAGGATGATGACTGGGACCTGGGGAGCTGAGTAGTCTCTAGTTTTCCTGGCTCCTCCTGTCATTGCCCCATCTAGCCCAGCTGGTCAGTCTGTCTTAAACATGGTTTGCAGCCCCTACCAAGCTCCTTTCAAGCTTTTCACCCCTCAGTATTTCCTATGCTGAGACCTCCAATAAGGCTGAGTTACGTGTCAGCTTTGAAATGGAAAAAGAATCCTCTGACGGAATCAAGGGAGTGGATTCTCTGTTCGTTTCCACTTGTGAATTACTCTGGGCTTGAGTTCTGCCCTGCCTGTGTGAACAGGTGCCAAAAGAGCTCAGTCTGACACCAATCAGTTTGTCATAGTCCCCTCTCCCCTGTGATGGGTACAGGAAAAGGCCCTTTAAGTGCCTGGGACTCACATTCCAGGTCAGCGTCCTCTCCAGTGAGGAAACGGATCACAGCCTCCAGCTGACTGAGCTTTCGGTGGTCTGGATCAATGTCAGTGATGCAGTAAATCCTGGTGGGAAGGGAAGAAGGAGCAAGGGCAAAGAGAAACCACAGTTAACCAAATGCTCCTGGAAGATAATAACTGCAAAAAAAAAATTCAGCAAGAAACCTGGGTCTGCAAAGATTTTGCCACTGCTGCACGGTGTGCCCATTCAAAATCTAGCAGTGTGGCTGTAAGTCAAACCCTACCAGTAAACCAAACACCAATTAACCTGACTGCTGAGCTTGGTAGGGCTGCTGTTATGGTCTTCAGCCTAAGCTCACAATGTAAAACAACTGTCCCAAATCCTCTCAGCAGTTATCTGTATTACATGTTGTGTAAGACGTGTACATGTGCCTATATAGACAATAACAATGTGATGGAGAGACCTGAGAAGCAGAGGGTCGTGTGTAATGTGAGTAAGACCAGACCAGGAGCAGAAAAAACGAGAGACAGAGAAACAGAATGTGAGATGAGGAATGATCTTGCAGTATGATATGGTGACAAGAAAATCTGTCCCAAGGGGACACCACTGCAGGAGCCTCTGGACACAGTTTGGGGAGAAGCAGAAGAATGTGCTACAAATGCTCGGCATTATAAAAGAAACCAGTTTTCTAATCCTGCTTCCAATTTTGACCACTCCATTGTCAGGACAGGAAGGGGTTATAAGAGAGAATTACAACTCATAAAGGGGCTGAAAGGAGTGATTTATGAGAGAAGTCTAAGAGAAATTAATATGTAAAGTGTGTGAGCTGACACACCAAGTCAGGAGTAGAAGAAGGAGAAGTCACTGCTTGTGTCTCAAATGCGCTGCCTGTGAAACTTAGCAGTGTAATGAGAGGTGAGAAGAGGTGGAGGGCTTCTTGAATATAGTTATTTTGGCTTTGATACAGGCTGGGTTCATGTGACTGAGTGTAACTGAATGTTGGGTTCATGAAAACCCCAAACCTCACAGCAATAAATGGAAAGTGCCATGCTTCACCTTGTTTCATATCCAAACCAAGCAAAACTGTAAATTCTGCTTGCTATTGAAACAGGGGTCATAAATCACCTCCATGTTCACCAGAAATTAGGTCTAGGCTCAGTTCAGAAGAATGCCAACCAAAAATAAGCTAGGATTTAAAAAAGCATTTCAATCTCTCACCAAGCTTGCAACAAAATTTCCTGACAGGTCTGACATACTGTAGGTCTTGTAAGACAATTCTGAGCAACATGAGGGGAAAAAATAAGTCTGAGCAGAGAAGACTGAGGATAAATCTCAGATGTTTGTTAGCACAGTAATGTGCCAGGTCTTGGTGGGATCTCCCAGAGGAAGAGGTGGAACTGAATTGCCTGGACACAATCAGGTCTTTGCAGGTACAGCCCCTGAAGAGCGCTGCTTTTTCCCTAGGCCACAGAGGGTGGTGAATGCAAGTCACATTGCTGGGAAGTTTGCCCAAATATTGTGACAAAGTCCTGTGTCACTGACAGGATTTCCTCCACTTACCATTCATTTGCTAAAGACAAGTCTGGCTGGAGCAGGTCATGCAAACCTGAAAGCAGATAATACATGGAATATTCAGTTAGGTACCAGCCAGATACAGGCTGTGGAGGAGAAGTGAAGTGGTGAAGTTCAGAGTAGCTGCCTTGTCCCTTGGGACAGCATGGCCCTTTCAGATTAACCTACCTTCTTCCACTGAAGTGTTCCCCAGCAGAATGTACTCCCCGTGTCCCCTGGACAGCACAACACCCAGGCTGGAGGCAGGAAGGAAAACAGAGGACTTGTCAGCAAGGAAAGGTGTCATTCCTAAACATGACACTGCATTCCCTGCGGTAACAACCCTTAAAGACATTAACTCCCTCCACAGCTATTAAAGAAAAGAACATCATCAGAAGAGGATTAAGTGAGATCCGATTTCAGCACAAGAGGCAAAGGAACCTGTCTGTAGAGCTGAAATGAGGCATTTCTGGTGATAATTTTTTAGCCAACATTGTAGATTCAGGTCAATGATAACATTACTCAAATCTGTGCCAGTTTCAAATCATTTCAACTGGGGAAAAGAAAAACCAACCCACAAGCAATCACACACACATGCTTTGCTTGATTTGTTATTTGATTGTTTATAATTTTCAGTTTATAACAGTGTTGTTTTTTATAAAGCCATACACCAGAACATAAACGATATTCAGTGGAATGGAAAATTGAAGATGTCTTATTTCTCTGAAATGAAACATGATTCACCTAAGGCATAGCTTTTGTATTCTGAACTTCAGATAAATCATAATATTCCTTTTGAGTTGACCCCAAACAATATTTTAATGGCTATAGGAACAAAGAAGTCAGTTATTCACACTCCTCTGCTCATGACTTGTAGCCAGTTTTATGAAGAAAAGGGACCAATCTCCTGTCCATGATCCATGATCATACTTCTGATACATTGTGTTGATGTCACATAGTCCTCGCTCACCTGAAGGGTGTGCCACTGATGTCCGTGAAGAAATAATCATTGGTGAGGAAAAGAACTCGTTTCTGGAATAAGAGCAAGAATAAGAAGAGTGAGAGACCATCTGACAGACCAAGAGCACAGTGGTGATGGGGACCTGGGATATATGTCCCCAAGGCGAAGCAAAAGCAGTCAATCACTACCAACACTTCACACCCTGCTAGGGCTGGCTGGAAGCAGGGATGAATGTGCAGTATTCAGCATATCCAGCTCTTTCAGCATCCAGGCAGCCACTCTGTCTTTCCAACTAGGGCTTCAGTTAAACCTTTCTTTGCTCTGGGGCTCCTGCACCGGTTGCAGGAAGGGGTGGGGGGAAGCTGCCCTCCCTCTCACACCCTCCAAGCCAATGTGCTGGGGCCCTACTGCTCTTTTGCCATACACAGCAACCTTGACAGCTTTGCACATCATCATCATCATAATCATCATCATCATCATCATCATCTCCAGCAGGAGGGGGGACTCAGTGGGCCAGGTAGAAAGATGGCAAACCTACCCACTGTGTGTGTGGGCAGCTGGGGCCAAGGCAGCTGGAGCCAAGTCTCCCCACTCCTGTGGGAAATTCTAATATTCCTGACCTTTGCTTTCATGCCAAACTGGGACAAAACATTAGCATATTTCAATTTTGTTAAAAAACATCAGTAAAAAAAATTTACGTTTTAAATTTGGAAAAAAAGTGCTGATTCAAATCCAAGCCGTTTTGATTCACGTGCAAATATTTTTTTCAGACTGACATTTCAACTGAAGACATTTCAGATTATTGAAAGCTGCTTCAGAACTTCATCTGTTTGCCAGACTAGCCTTTTCCTGTAGGAAAGTGTTGATTTCAGTGGAACTCTTTTCCAAAGGAGAAAAGTTTTTGGAAAGTTTCTGTCCAAGCCTCATGCCAGTATATGAACCCTAATATGTTTAAAATCCTAGACCCAGCCTGAAAACGAGGTGAGAGGGGAGTGAACACAGAAAACTCAGTGTTCCCCAGGGAGAGCTGTGCCTGCTCTAACCTGCTCAA